CTTCAACATGTATACCATAAAAGAAGAGGAAAGGTAAATTGGCAGAAGGAAAACTTTTTTGTGTGAAATTCAGATATATATATAAAAATGATTTTAGGACTACCTTAGGTTGCTGTTTTTCATTTTATTAACTTTAAATTTAGAATATGGAATCAGGGTGTCCGGTACATAAATGTCAGTGCAAGAGCATTTGTCATCTCTATGACACATTTATATGACTTCCAAATTTAAAATAATGATTAATTTAACAAAAATTACTATTTAATGGCTATTGCAAATCTTTTCAAGAAAAAAAATTGATAGATTCAGCTAATTATGAAAATGTGATACTTACAATGCCACATTGGCTCATTTAATGTGATCTTGTGCTGCAGTTATTTCTTGTCAGAGAAAAGTTATTATACATATTACTTATGTTCCAGAAAACTCACTGATTTTTGTAATCTCATGTTTCATTAAAATATATACCAGTGATTTGGAAGCTAAGAGGTCAGTGAAAATGGATATTGTGCATTTTTATGATTGGAAAATAATTAATGGTACAGGATTTGGAAGATGCCGATTTGCATCAATTGCCCAGTGGAGTGAAGAATTTACTTCTCTTTCTATAGTCAAGTGTTTTAGGATTGGGAATCCCAACTGGGAGATACATATGCTGATTAAAAATTTCATTTCCAACTTATTTTCCACGACAAGTGAACTAAATATTAATAATTTAATTATATAATAGAATAGACATTTAAGAGTGGCTTTGATTTGCATATGAGATGTTTATGCCTTTATAGATTATTTTTCTTTTGTCTTCTTTCCTTTCTTTGTTTATTGTAATAAATAAAATGTTCTCTGGGATGCTCATTTCTGTGACTGAATGGGATTTGTTCTATTCTGGAGTGACCTACAATTGTGTAAATTTAGGAGATTTTTGGACCTATCATGGTTACTAGCAAGTATTTTTTTAAGCTCAGTTTATAGTGATAATACTATGAACTATCCTAATTGGAAACAGTCCTACGATAAGATTTATTTCAATATATTATATATAGTCCTGCTCTTGAAATTGTGCAGCTATTCTAAAGTAAGATATGTCTGTGTGGAAAATGGCCAGTATGATTAAGTTATGGCATTATTAAGCTATCAATAGTGAATTAGTATAATTACCAAGTTGGAGTTTACATGTGCTGTACTAATAAGTGAAACTATGTTCCTGGCCAAGTAACCTTTTTAAAAAAAAAATGCAAAAATGAAATACAGTAATAAATAGCTAACAAGGTAGGGAAAATATGCAGACATGGCTTCTAGCACTTTTTTTCCAAATCTTTCATAACAATGTCCATAGGAGGTGATTGCATTGCCTTTTGTCTAATGCAATAATGCATTGCATATGTCTGTGTTCTTTTCTAGTATTGATCTTTGAGGTTTTGTGTATGTGTGCACCAGAGATAGGTTGCATGTATTCATTCAGGATCATTTAACCAGAAAGGAAAAGGATTTAGAAAGAAATGGTCATTAATTTTCTTACTGCCACTCAACTGCCTCTACTTTAGGGATGATCTGATTAAATTTCCCAGTAGCCCTTGGCCCATTTTTTGAATTTGATATTTCTTTTTCTAGTTTCTCCTTCATCCCTACTCCAAATCTGATATCATTGGTCTAGAACAGAGGTCCCCAACCTTTTGGGCACCAGGGACCAGTTACGTGGAGAGAGTTTTTTCTGCAGACAGGAAGGGGCGTGGTTTTGTGTGCTGCCTGAATCCCACGGATGGGGTTTTACTTGTTTGTGTGGACCAGTTGCTGGCCTGCCATGGCCCTGTACCAGTCCACAGACCAGGGGTTGGGGACCTCTGGTTTAGAAGACTTCCAAAGCCCTTCCAACCTTATGATTCTAGTATATTTTTGAGATTGCTAGAATCCTGAGTCCTTTCACGTGAATTCCACTTATTTACCATGACAGGGGAAACAAGCAGGGTGTGACTTCAATCCACTGAAGTAACTTATTAAGTTTCTGCATTTGTATGTACAACTTTCTCCCCAGGGATTAATCGGGATATGTGCAAACAGAGCTGCATCCAGACACAGGTGGAAGCAAAATGAGATACAAACAATATTCCAGTTAACAGACTGTCCCTGGGGATGGTGGGGCTTATATCATCATCTTGCACTTTTCTGGCCACTGCTTTGCAGACCTCTCTCTGTGTATGTGTACACATGTATGTGTATCTGTGAGAGTATAATCAGGGGTAGATACTTATATGCTGTCTCTATGTACAGTAGTGGCCAAAATTGTGGAAATCTTTTGGGAAAAGTGTACATTTGAGGTTTGATGGCTAATAACATCACTTTTTTGGAGTAATACCATAAAATTATATAGCAGTGGAAAGATAATTTAATCAAGAATGTAATACAACAAAGTTTGTTCAATTATCTGTGTTCTATAAAAGGTTATAGCCAAATAACCCGAAAAAGGAAGCACAACTTGCTTAGTTTGATATCAGGTAGCTTTCCTTCATCTGCTTTTAGCCAATGAGCATGAGTGTTTAGAGAGCCAATCAGGTGTCATCTTGTTTTGGCAATGAGCCAATCAGATCACAGTAGGATTCAGTTATTGATGTCATGTATTGAAGCTGAGAGGAAGACATTTGTCAATGTGTTATGTGACCACTATCAAGTTGGTTGGGTTTTTTTGTGTACTTTCATTTAGTGAGCTTGTAAAATATAATAAAATTAAAGTAATAGTGCAAAGAGTTGACTGGTCATCCAGAAAGCGATGTAAAATAGTATTATTAAGTGAGCAAGGCTACAGTTATAAAGAAATTAGAATAAAAATTGGTGGAAACTTAACCAAAGGTGGCATTTCTAAGTTTTTGAAGAAGTATAAGGAGACTCAGTCACTACAAAATCACACTGGTAAAGGCAGGAAAAGGTGCACAACAGCAAGTGATGATAGAAGAATTAAGAGACTGTATCTACGTGACAGAAGAAAATCATCTGGATGTATACAAGATGACATGGCGCAATGCAATGTGAAATTGAGTGCAAAGACTGTTTGGCACAGACTGCAGGAATTTGGCCTAAAATCTAGAATTCTATGAAAAAAGCCACTTTTATCTCTCAAACAAAGGTTGAAAAGACTAAACTGGGCTAAAACCCATGTTATCTGGACAGAGGAACAATGGGACAGTGTTATTTGGAGTGATGAGACAAAGATCTCCCTGTTTGGTAGTGATGGCATAAAATACGAAGAATCAGAGAAGATTTGCATCCTGATTGCATTACATGTACCATGAAATACCCAGTCAGTCTTATGATCTGGGGTTGTATGACATCAAAAGGGGTGGGCAGAATTTGTGTGATTAATGGGAATATAAATGGCCAAAAATACATTAATGAAATACTTGAGCCCAAACTGAAGCCTTCTGCACATGATCTTTTCCAAGACAATGAAGCATTTATATTTCAACAGGATTCAGCTCCATGTCATGTTGCTACTGTGTGCAAAAAGTGGTTTCAAGATAATCATATTCCACTGTTGGAATGGCCTGGGAATAACCCAGATCTTAACCCAACTGAAAATCTATGGAGCCGACTAAAGAAGTGACCCAGCAATAAAACCCAGTTAATAGAAGCAATCATTCAATCTTGATTTCACATTATAACAGCTGCAGAACTAAAGGACTTGGTTCACTCCATGAGAAGACGTTGTAAGGCTGTAATTCATACTAAAGGTTACCCAACTAAGTATTAACTGACATCTTGATAATTTTTGTATATCTTGTTTTTCTATGGTGGTAATTTTTGTATATCTCATTTTTTTCTATGTGTTTCACTTCTCTTCCTTATAACTGCTATTCTAATAGCAAATCCTTAATAAAAATTATTGCATTACATTCTTGATTAAATTATTTTTCCATTGATATATAATTTTATGGTACTACTCCAAAAAAAGTGGTGTTATTAGTCATCAAACCTCAAATGTATACTTTTCCCAAAAGGTTTCCACAATTTTGGCTACTACTGTATATGTGCATTTCTGCTTTCCCCCCATGCTAAGAAAGCTGATTTCTGTTTTCTTCTTATGTTCTATCATTTTGGGGGGACAGTAGGAAGATAATCTACACCTGGGTTTGTGTCATGACAGGTTGGAATGGGGGCTTAAAATGGAGTATTTGGGGGTATTCCAAACAGCTGTCCAAATGCTTTTTCCCCAGTGATGCATTGGTTTTCCCCCCCTTAATTTCTTCTGTATCCAAGCCATTCTCAAGCTCCATCTTACTTTTTCCAGCTCCTTTCCCCACACTAGATTGGATCCTGTTCTCTTCAGTGTCAGAAGAGTTGTCTTTCTAGCAGACCAGCATAGTCCTGACTCTCTTTACATCATTTATTTTTAATTTTCTTTTTGTTAGGAAGAATAAAGATAATAAAGTGAACTTTCTCTGAGCTCCTTAATACCTAGAGATTTCTGCTGGGGAACTTTGACCAACCAGTTTACAGAAATTTTGTTATGGGATGGGATACATAAAATAATTCAGTTGATACTAAAAGATTTGTAATTGAGATACAAAAAATTAATTTAAAAACAATTTTTAAAAGGGAGGAAGCCAGATCTACATAAATGTGACCTTACTCATGACCCTTCTCTCCAAAAATGCAAGTTCCCATACTCCTAATAGCAAAAACATAGACAGAATTGTATTTCTTAGAATGTCCACAATTACAAAAAGTTTGAGAAACATTACCCGTGCATACCCCAAATCAGGGGAAGTGGCCAGAAAAGAAAGAGCCATACTATCTATGTTGTTTTTATCGTTATGATTGGCTTTTTTAAACATCAGTGTCTTTTACTATTATTTTTAATTCTCTTTTTGTCAGCATTTTTTTAACATCACCCAGAGAAATTCAGTACTGTACCTTTACTGAATTCTGAGTGTTTAGAATTCTTATGGTTAGGAATAAATGCCATTATTTGCCACTGGTTGATTCGAATCTCTGCCTTTTTCTTACAGCTGACATACCTTCCACCTCCATGGGGTGAGTGCCACTCATCAGATTTTGGCCTGGAATTTTTCCCCATCTATAGCATCACTGCATGCAGGATCAGTTGTGAGACCCGCTACGTGGTAGAGAATTGCAATTGCAAAATGGTTCACATGCCAGGTAAGTCTTTTGAAATGAGTTCTGCCAAAACACAGAATGCATGTTGAAACTATCTTTGAACCCTCTAACGTATCTGGGGATCAATGGCTCTAGAGATAATTGTGGTTTGGCTTGTATCCACCCTTCAATCTTTGAATTAGTAAGCTTCATATTCAGGTTATCGCTATAAGGGCTATTTTCAATAACCATCAGATGCTCTCTAGCACGCAGCACAAAGAATTCAAACCTTGATCACTGAGAGGTGGTTTCTACTGTTAATAATGTTATGTTCCTCAAAATACTTGTATATTAATAGTAGAGGTTTGTTTCTTTTAAGAACAATCTGAAGGTAATTGTTCTTAAAATTTTAAAGCTAGATATAAAGAGCTTCTATGCCCAATAATTACAGAACTTAAGAAATATCTGTCTGATTTTTTACTTCAAATCTTTTCCCTGCCTTCATTTTATTTGTTTTTAGAGATAAAGAGGCAAAAGCACTGTTTTTGTGTAAATCTGCATGCTTTAAGCTACATACTTAAGGGTAAGCCCTAATGAATTCATTTTAATAGTAATTTTATTCAAAGATTATAAATTATAATATCAAAAAATTAATACATACTAAAAAAACGAAGAATAAAAAGAAAAAGTAGAAGATACAGAAAAGAAAAAAGGAAAATATAGGAAGATAAATAAAAAAGGAAGACTATAGTAGAAAGAAGAGAAATGTATAAGTGATTATCCACCTTCACCACAACAATTATAAGCAATTTTAGTAACTGATCACCTCCTTTTAAAATACAACAAATGATCTCCTCTTCCTATATCCTTTCTCTTATCTATAAACAAGACCATAAAAGACTGCCTTTCCAATCTTGGTGTCAGCAAAAGTCCATTAAAGGTTACCAGAAATAACAACAAATCTTGATCAACTAAATCAACTTTATATTCCTTCCTTTTACGTCTAACAATCTTAATTTTTAGTTCATTGAAATAATGTCATAGAATTTGAATTTTTTTTAAAAAAAATGTTCATTTGTTCTTTTTCACAAGATTTTTAAAAACTCTTTTGCAAATCCAATATAGAAAAATTATCCAGGTCTCTCTTTTGGTTTATTTTGCATATCCCTTGTAATTATTAACACATAGGCTGGTTTCTATTTTTATGTGCAGTGTAATATCTTTCTTCTCATCATTCTCAGTCTTGATCTTGTCAGGTAGAATTTGTTCTTCTTCCATAACATCTTTTGGACACAATCTCCAGAGAGGCAGATGTCTCTATTGGCACTATTAAAACTAATTTCTGAGACCATTGTTCAAAAATATTTATTTGTCTAATTTTATCTCAGTTATCTAATTTCATATAATTTATCAAGTTTTATCTATTTTATATAACCACCCATCGCATAAGCAAGTGATTCTCATGATTTACAATAAAAACATCCTTTAATATGTCCAGTGTTAGAATATTTAGTTCCATTCTATAATGGAGTTCATATGTTTTTCTCCTTTAATTGTAATCTTTGAGTTCCTCTAGTGTCCAGTTTTTAAAATCTTATTTTTTAAAATAAAATCAAAAACATTTTTCCACAGTAAGCCTAATGAATTTGATGGGATTTATGTTAGATAAGCATTTAGGAAATGATGCAGTTATTTTTCTAACAATAGTCTTTGATTTCAGATAGGTGTTAATTGTGGCTGTTCATCTGCATGGATGCATAAAAATAGTTGCACACACGTTCATGCATATATTCACACTCATACATACCTACATCTCCCAGATCTCTATAAACAGGGTAGCTTAAGTTTTGCAGACAGACTGAGTGAACTTCATGCTTTCCTAATTCAAATCATGAATGCTGCAAACTCACCAAACAGTTGTAGACTGTTAGGATTCCAATCCTTGTGAGAAATAAAACAAGAAGAGATATATGCACCCATCTTCTTCCATTATATTATTGTGACAGAGCCAACAGAGGAAGAAAAAAAATCAGGGAATGCAATATCCATCCCTGGAACACCACCCATGTGATCTCTAATTGCTATGTTTCCCTTAGGAATTTTGTTTGCCAATATGTGACTGAAACCTGATAGTGATTTTCCTAAGCATTTTAGAAAGAAAACCATCATTTCTAAGCTTATAATAAAAATGACCCCCTTTTTATATATATATATGTATACAGGGGATGCTCCATTTTGTACACCGGAGCAGTATAAGGAGTGTGCAGAGCCTGCACTAGGTAAGTTCTGAAGGAATTTTCTTACCATCAGGATTGCTTATTTCTTCTAATCTAGGCTGATATTTCAAAAAGATCACATTTCAGACTGAGAATATATTGTTACAGAATATGTTACATAAGAATGAAAATTCCTCTGCATACAAATAGAGGGTGTCTTGCACACAACCAAGCAAATATCAGCTGCCTCCTTGTAGATTGGCTTATGCAAACCTTCCATAGCACATGACATAACTCAGTCACAATATAACTTGTTTTCCTAGAACTTGCAATTTCTGCCTGTGATGGCCCTTGGGAAAAACTGGGAAGAATGAAATTCTAAGTTCATGTTTAAATTTGCAGCATCCAAATTCAGTTTCTCTCCCTCAGTTAATTTAAGGAGGTGAACATTTTTGCCTTGAAATTCATTAGAAATGTGTACTGTAAAGAATTCTCATCAAGTCAGAATTCAAAAGCAAAATTTTATTTTTGACATTTTAACTTTGTGAACACTTCTGGGCAGCTGCAGTATTGATATGGTATTTATTTAGATTCATATCTCCCTCATTCTTCATTCTCCTATGGTATCTCTATTCACGTACTGGTTTGTTCCACAAGACAGATGATTTCTGGGGTAGGAAAAGAAAGGATTAGGCACTGGTCAGTTCTGCTTATCACTCCTTTTGTTCCTTTGACCTTGGATAAGTGCATGTTGAACTCAAAATGGAGTGCTTTTAGCTTGGGCTATTTCAAATTTCAGCTTGGCACATATTTGGAATGATGAGGGCAACTGTTTCAAACTCAGCATTTAGCATTTTGAATGTAAATCTGTTGTTTTTGAGTTTGATATGTATTACACATGGAACAATTTGTACATTTCTGTTTCATGTGTAAAGTTACATATAGCTGAGCATGGAGTATAATCTAAGAACAAGTTTCCACATATTACTGCAAAAAAAACAGGGAAGGCAGAGGCTATTTCTGGCAGCAAACTCACTGTCACTACAGCATATAAATTGGACTGTTAATAGACTTTTTAAAAGGAGGACAGAATTCATAATGGATTACCCCCATCAGTGGCTTTTTTTTTAGCTATGATTGTTAACAATAGAACTTTAATGAATGTCTTTGGTGAACAGAAAAGAGAACATAGGGTCCTAGTTATCTCTGCCATGAGTTAAATAAAACATTCTAGTGGCACTGGCCTAGCTATTATTGTGTGGGTATAAATCTGCCTTTTCCAAAAGCATATTCTTCCATTTCATGAGCATATATAACCCCTCTGGATATTCCCTGGGTAGGATCATGGGAATTATAGTCAACCACAACTGAAAGGCACCAAGTTAAATAATGCAGGTCTAGTTCAATCTTTCATCTAGGTCAGAAAAGTACTTCTTCCATCTACATGGGATTGAATTTTACCAGTGACCCATCTGATTCTTACTTTGCCTTACAGTGCTTCTCGGTGAAAAGGGAAATGATTATTGTGAGTGCCAAACCCCATGCAATTTGACCCGTTACAACAAGGAGCTGTCCATGGTTAAGATCCCCAGCAAGACCTCAGCTAAATACCTTGAGAAGAAGTTTAACAAGTCAGAGAAATATATCTCGTACGTAATCCTGGTTAAACAGGGGTGGAATAATCATCTTATTAAGTAATGTAACCCAAAGGGAAGTTGTGTAATAACAAAATATATGGTGGTTATTGTCAAGTATCAGTTGGGATTCATTCATTTGAGATTCACTCAGGTATCAGTTTCCAGATTGGTTAGATTTCAAATTTCAGAACAATTATGCGTTACTTGCTACCAAGACCACTGAATAAGCCACCCAACTGGATCTGGAATTAGAAATCCAGTCAGTAAAAATTTAGGGTTTCCAGAGTATCAAACAAGGTTCAGTGCTAGAGGCAAGGGCCTAATCAAACACAGATAGAAGACACAATCTAAAGTCTCCAGTTAAAGGTCAGGAGATCCAGAAATAAGTACACAATCAAAACAATCAATAAACTAGATTGATGAAAGATGCAAATATTCTGTTCTTGTAATGTTCAGAAGAGATATATTGGAAGTCAGGATTTTACGGGACACTGTATCTTGGGTTTGGTCCCTACAATCAATTATTGTGTTCTAGTAAGCTGTTTTTGCAATCAATATTCTTGAAACCAAGGAACTTTGCACAAATGGCCAAGTCAAAATCTCCAAACTGTACATCTAGACCATCGGTAAAATTATTAGTATGGACCCTCCAGGTTCATTAGAGTCTACACCTGACTATCAATTGTTGAGAATAGCAATATCTTCAAAGAATTATTGCCTTAAAGCCCTGCCTCCATATCATTGTTTATTATGGAAACAGAAAGATGGACTATCTGCTCCAAGCTGGTATACTCCAAATTTGGTAGGATGTAATTTTAAGAATTCTGTGAATTATAACCAGCGTATCTGGAAAGTGCCAGTTTTGAGAAGGGAGATCAAACCTAGTAAGGCATGCCTATTGTTTACCGGGACTTTGTGGCATCTTTCTTCTTCCCAGTCTCCAAGGGAATCAGGGTTGTCTACAAGCAGCTTTTATTCTTAATCACCTGCACATTTGGAACAAGTATTCAGGGAAAAATGGTAGATAAGACAAGAGTGAATATTCTGTTATCAAGAAACTATAAGAGAGGAATGGGATATATGGGACCCTTAGTACCATTTGAATTATAACCGCAACTAACATTATCAGTGGTTTGGTACAATGGAAATCATAGTCCAACAGCACTGGAGCTTGCATGTTCTTACTTACTCTCAAGGAATGAATTGCTTCCTCTTGATGTCCTCCTGGCTGCCTGTTTTCTTTCCTTAGGGAGAATATACTTGTACTGGATATATTCTTTGAAGCTCTTAACTATGAGACCATTGAGCAGAGGAAAGCCTATGAAATGGCAGCATTACTTGGTGAGTAAATATTCTATGCATATATACAACACAATTGTAGTTTGTATGCAATGTGGAGCTTCAGCCCTATGAAGTTCTCTAATCTCAGGAAACTCCTGTCAGTTGGTGAGGAACAATAGAAAGCAGAAACAAAGCAACATGGACACAGGAAGAGAGAAAGAGAGGTAAACCCAACAAGCACTAAAAAATGCCCTAGGCTGCAATTGACTCTCCTTATTACTTTGACCACTGAATAAATATGACCCAGAAGCCTTTAGCATCACTGACCTACTCTGCTCTATAGGTAGTTCTCGAATTACAATCACAACTGAGACAAGAATTTCCATTATTAAGCAAGGCAATTGTTAAGTGAGTCACATCCTATTCTCCAGCATGATGAATGTAAAATCCACCGCTGGGTAATCTCAGCCTTCCTACTCAGATGAGACTAAGTCAGAACTTTAGCCACGCCTCCCTCTGGATGTGTCCTCCAGTTATTGACTTAGTCTCACCTCAGTAGGATGCAACTCTGCTGGCTTCTCAGTTAGACTAGGTTAATTAATTTGATTGATTCACTAATTGGATTTTATTTACATTCAAAAATATCTTAATTATCGTCATTTATTCTTTATTGAAATTTGGATTCAAATTGGCAATTGTATTGGTCTATTGCTCAGGCCTTTTAGGCTTCAACGAGCCTAACAGGCTCCTGTGCAGCAGACTACAGGCCGATCTGGAGTGGGGCTTTTAGCTCCGATCCAGCTGATCAGCGGGAGCGTGGATCAGCAGAATAGCTGGCTTGCGGCGACTAGGAGTTTCCTCGGAGCTCGGGCAGACCGGAGGGCTTCCCTTTCGAATTGTTGTTGATGCCACGGAAGCAGGCGAATTTTGGATCGCAGCAGAGGCTGCGCGACTTAACAGCAAATGTTTTTGACGAACGGGGTAAAGAGGACTTTAAATATATTGGGAGATCCCTTAAAGCCCTTCCCTTCCAGGAGGTTAGTAGCCTTCTCTTTGCAGTTCTCGGCATGGCCGCCAATTTTAAGAGGGACTGCACAGGTGTGGCCACTATTTTGACCACTTGTTTAGGTGCGGACGCCATTTTAAATGCGCTTTTAGGCACGGACGCCATTTTGTAGGAACCTCGTGTTCTCAGAGTATAATTGGGCCTACATTATTCGTCTCCTGAGCCTGCTGTGTCAGGCCTCTACCGGGGGGAAGTATTTAATGCTATTCAGGACAATTCTGTGCGTTATCAAGACCAATCATGTGGTTGATCATTATATTGCATTTATATTATTTGATCTAACTACTCATTGAAGCTCAGGTTACATTCCTTTCATTACGTGTGTTAAGTTAGCGAGGGAGAATTTATATTAGAATCCACCTGTTCCATTAGTTTGTGGCACTGTGCCACAAGGCCTAGACAGATAGTTCTAGTGAACTGTCTGGCTGTTTGCCATTGTTGTTGTTCAGAGCACGAGTCATTTTCCCTCTCTGACAACCAGATCTGCGTGTTTGGGTTCCCCCCATTTCTGGATATCTCCTACCCAGAATATCCAGACTGCAATGGCAGACAGTGCCTCGCCCCAGGCATCATAGGGCTCTGATATTCCCCACACACAAGCAAAGCGCAGATCATCTGATTTGGAAGCGGGGGGAAAGAAAAAGGCTCCACCAGGAGCCCTCCAAGGCAGCCGAGCGAGAGGCCTCGAGGAGACATCAGGCGCTGGAGAGGGAATTCTCCAAAGCTCAAAGGCTCATCTCCAGTGAAGTTGATGTGGTCCCCCCCCCCGTTCCATTGGACTGTTCTCCATTTGAGCCTCCATATGCGCCTTCCCATGAGGCCCCTAGGGCATGGTCTCCTCAGGGGGAAACTGAACAGGTTGGTCCCCCTTGCTCCTCATCTTCTATTACACAACAAGGTCCTGAAGCCACGTATACTACCACTGCAGCTGGGGTTCGTTCTATGGACCAACAGGATATATGGTCAGACCAGTTCCAGGCATTTATGCACCATGCTTTTACACAATTTATGTCATCCTCTAGGAGTCAATGGCCCTTGCAGCCACCACCACCTCCATCCATGCCTCCTTCTCAAATGGGACGTGCTACGGTTCCCGGTTCCGGTATCTCCGAGCCTTCCTCTCAATTAGGTGAGGAGAGGTCTGTGGACCTGGAGATAGCTGACATGCCCATGTCAGAGGAGGAGGAGGAAGCGCCAGAACAAGCACCAACCTCTGGTCTATTTGATCCTTCCCTTTTCAGGTCATTACTTATGAAGGCCTGTACTACAGCCAACTTCACTTCGGCACAGGAGGATAAACCTTCCACCTCCACTAGCCAGGAGTCCAATCCTTTGTTTGCAGAACAGGTAGTGGAGGGGAAACAAATCCCTTGCCCGAATGTCTTTCGTACTATAGTGGAGAAACAGTGGTCCTCTCTGGCCACTTTACCTTCTGCTACTAGCACAGAAAAGAAACTTTTCAATGTTTCTTCTTCATTTTCTTCCCTTTTGGAAGTGCCTATGGTGGACACTCCACTAACTTCTTTATTTTCCACATCCACAATTCCAGGGGATATAGCAGAGGCTCTGAAGGCAGAGGATGAGAAGTTTGAGTTCTGCCTCTGCCGAGCTCACCAGGCCTCGGCATGGGCGATTAAGGCGGCGACTTCATCTTCCTTTTTTGCAAGGGCATCAATCATGTGGCTCCATGAACTCCAGGCGCTCGTTCCTCCTGACCAGGTGTGCACACACCAGACACTGGGGAAGTTAGTGGCAGCGTCTGAATATATAGCAGATGCTTCTCTTCATTTGGCCAGATACTCCGCTAGATCTATTGCAGCCACTGTTGCCTCTCGCAGGCTACTGTGGCTGAAGCAGTGGCAGACTGACTTAAAGTCTAAGTGGCGCCTGTCGACTGCCGCGTACAGTGGTACACATTTATTCAGCCCGGTCCTCAAACCGCATATAATTGAGGGCAAAGACAAACGTAAGATTCTGACACACCCTTCCAAAAAATTGGGTAGGCGGCCCCAGCAGGATTTTCGCAGACAGTCTTTCCATCCCAGTGGTTCCTGGGAGTGGAGGCAGCCCTTTCAGGCTGGGCAGTCCTGAGATTGGCCCAGAGGCTCACGATCCTTTCCTCCTAGACAGGATCATCAACAGGACCACCAGAACACTGGAGCCAAGGGCATCCTTACAGACAGACCAAGTGACGTCAAAGAGAACTCTCCCATAGGCAGTCGCTTGTCGCTGTTCAGTAACATTTGGGAGGTTACCACCACTGACTCTTGGGTCAGAGAGACCATAAAACACGGTCTCGCTCTAGAGTTCTTCTCAAATCCTCCAGACTGTTTCATACAGTGTCCCGTATCCAGAAACAGAACCAAGGCAGAATTGGTAGCCACGGCCATCTCCCATTTGATAGAAATCAGGGCCATAGAACTGGTACCTCAGAAGCAGAAGGGAGAGGGATTTTACTCTATTCTGTTCATGGTACCCAAAACCTCGGGGGGATGGAGGGCTATACTGGACTTAAAGGGCCTGAATTATTTCTTGACCTACAGGAGGTTCAAGATGCAATCCCTAAAGTCCACTCTGGCCATCATCAGGGAAGGAGATTTCTTTTCCTCCATAGATCTGACAGAAGCATACTTGCACATCCCAATCCTCCCGGAACACCGCAGATTCCTTCGGTTTTGTTACGCGCATCGGCATTACCAATACAGGGTTCTTCCCTTTGGTCTCTCTTCAGCTCCAAGGGTCTTTACAAAAATTTTGGCAGTACTGGCGGCCCACCTCAGGATGATACTGGTGCGCGTACAATGCTATCTGGATGATATTCTTGTCCAATCCAGTTCTTTCAGGTCGGCTCAGTCAGATCTGGAAATCACGATCAATACACTTCAGGATCACGGGTTTTCCATGAATTTCAAGAAAAGCCACACAATTCCCACAAAGTGTCTCCTTCATCTAGGGGCGTTAATAGATTCAGATCTTTGCAAGGTTTATCTTTCATAGGAGCGCCGGATCAGCATCCGGAAGCTTGTCCACCAGATTCGGAGAGAGAAGGTAGTTCCTCTGATCCAGCTGTCTTAACTGCTGGGAAAGATGGTTTCTTGCATGGGGATCAGTCCGTAGGCCAGACTTCACTCCAGAAACCTTCAGTGGTTTCTCCTCCCCTTCCAGAAACGAAGCCTCAGTTCATCCACAAGGAGGGTGAGGGTTCCTCACCACACCCTGTTATCTCTTCTGTGGTGGGCTTCCTCCGCAATGACCAAGGGGACCCTCTTCAAGGAACCTCTCAGGCTCACCTTGACCACAGACGCCAGTCTGTTCGGTTGGGGTGCCCATCTACAGACTCATCTGGCACAGGGTCAGTGGTCCCGGGCGGATTTAGTTCACAACATCAATTGGCTCAAACTCAGAGCCATACACTTGGCACTCTGTTAGTTTTCCTCCATAGTGGCGGGACAACACGTCCTGATTCTGACAGACAACGTGGAGCCAAGGCTCATGTCAACAAGCAGGGAGGGACCCAGTCATGGTCACTCATGCTGGAGACCTTGGATCTGGGTCTGTGGGCAGAGTCCAATCTGGGTTCCATCAGGGTGGAACACATCGGGGGACGCAAATCGACAAGCAGATTCTCTGAGCAGGGTCACAGTCGACCACTCGGAGTGGCGTCTGGACCCGGCACTGTTCAGGGAGATCTCAATCAGATTTGGTCATCCACAACTGGATCGTTTTGCCTCCCCGATAAACTCCTAACTCCCCGGGTTCTTCACCAGGTTCCCAGCATGGGAGGCGGAGGGAACAGATGCTCTCTGGTGTGAGTGGCCGGGGGGACTGCTTTATGCCTTCCCTCCCCTTCCATTGATACAGGCAACCATTCGCAAACTGATTCAGGAACGGACAGAGATAATCTTAATTGCTCCACATTGGCCCAGGCATCCGTGGTTTGCCGACCTTGTGGATCTATCGCTCTCGCCACCGTGGAGGATTCCCCCGGACAGAGTTGCTCTCAGCCAAGGGAATCTTCATCATCCAGATCCACAGTGGCTCCAGTTGGCTGCCTGGCATTTGAGCGGGAAAGTTTAGCTAGACAATCCTATTCGTCAGGGGTGATCTTGATGATCCAAGCCTCAAGGCGCCCCTTGACTAACAGGATTTATGACGCCACATGGAAGAACTTTTGCATGTGGTGTGCTAAGCAGCATCTCCGGCCGTTATCAATCACCATTCCTAATATATTGGAATATCTTTTGGAAGGTATCAATAAGGGTTTATCACCTAGCACCATCCGCAGGCAGGTTGTGGCCCTATCAACAGTCCTTACCTGCGACAACCTGGTTCCTTTGTTGCAACAGCCGGCAGTTAGTGCTTTTCTGAAAGGGGCGGTTAACGCTAGACCACCTGCAGTGCATCGTTATCCATCTTGGGACTTACCTAGGATGTTACAAGCCCTGACTTCTCCACTGTTCGAGCCCCTTAGGTCTTGCTCACTTCATTTTCTTTCTTTGAAAGTGGCATTCTTAGTGGCTATCACATTGGCTAGGAGGATTTTGGAATTGGTCGACTTTCAGTTCGGAGTGATTTGTGTACCTTTTTTGAGGATAGGGTGGTCCTTCGATTGGACCTCTCCTTTATTCCAAAAGTCAATACCTGGTTTCATAGGTCGTAGGACCTGGTTCTTCCAGATTTTTGTCATAATCCGTCACATCGTCTGGAGAGACAGTGGCCTAAGTTAGATGTGCGCAGGGCTCTGCTTCATTATGTGAAGCGGACCTCAGCCTTTCACAAGTCGGAGGCATTGTTCGTGTCCTTTCAGCCCTCTGCCATGAGCCAGAAAGTATCCTCTTTGACCATTGGTAGATGGATTAGAGCATGCATTGCTCGAGCCTGTCTTTCTCAGTCACTTCCAGTTCCTACACACATCACTGCTCACTTGATGCACAGTGCGGCTGCATCAGCAGCCTGGTCCACCCAGGCATCGGTCGAGTAGATCTGTAGGGCAGCGACCTGGTCTTCCCCTTCTTCATTTGTAAAACATTACAAGATTGATAGGTTTGCAGCGGCGGATGCCTCGTTTGGTAGGAGGGTTCTACAGCAAGTAGTTTCTTCTCAGGGGACACAAGCCTAGACTTTTCCCTCCCCGTAGGGACATGGGCGGCTTTGGTATGTCCCATCGATGGATTCTACATTCATCATGCTGGAGAAGGGGCGTTGTCTTACCTGAACGCCTTTTCTCAGCATGATGATGTAGAATCCACACACCCCCTTTAAGGCAGTCTAGGCAGGTGTCATGATATTTGGAGCCATTGCGTCAGACTTCGTCATGGATGCTTCACCTCGTCAATAACTGGAGGACACACCCAGAGAGAGGTGTGGCTAAAGTTCTGACTTAGTCTCATCTGAGCAGGAAGGCTGAGATTACCCACCAGTGGATTCTACAACATTATGCTGAGAAAAGACGTTCAGGTAAGACAACACCCCTTTTATGACCCTTTTTGCCACTTTTGTTAATCAAATCATTGCAGTTGTTAAGTGAATCACACAGATATTAAGTGGATGCAGGTTCCCCCAGTGACTTTGAATGTTGGAAGCCAGCTGCAAAGGTCATAAAGCAATTACATGACCCTGGCACTCTGCAATCATCATAAGTACTTAATGTTCACATGACTGTGGGATGCTATGATGGTTATAAGTGTGAGGACCCATTGTAAGTCAGTTTTTTCAGTGCTGTGGTAACTTTGAATAGTGACTAAATAAATGGTTATAAATCAAGAACTACCTGTATTATTGTGAGGCTTCTATTCTGAGCTCATAAAAATCTGATTCCACCAGCTCAGAATCGTAATATGAATTCATGAAGTTTATGCCAATCTATTCAGGGAAAATAGGAAAATTGGAAAATGAAAATCTGCTTCCACCACTTTAAATATTCAAGGTAAATCTATCTGTTAGGAGAGTATCAACCAGACCTACTATTCTTATTTTCTCTGTTGGGCCTTATCCAGTTTTGATGTGAAACTTTCTTGAATTAAGGCACAATAAGGCTTATTTGAGTTGGCAAGGAGACTACGGTTCTCAGAAAATAATGAAATAATAAAGGAAAAAAATTAAACAAAAATAAAACAACATCATTTTTTGCCAGACAGGCAAAGAAAGGTGAGACTAGACTATATAACAGGGAAATTTCTTGCATCAGATCTTGGGCTTATATAAAGTTTCACCTATCAATTAAGAGAGTCATATCTCTGTGGTGCTATATTTGAAATATTTGTTATCTGATATGGTATTCCATCAATATATCAAGTTTCTTCTCAGATCATCTGGCCCTTATTTAGGCATCCTAAGTATGGTATTGCATGTTTAATCATAGAACCAGTAACTGAAACAGTATTGAAGTAGATGAGAAAATATTGATTGCCATGATAGAAGATGTGGCTTACCATCCATGTATCTAATAAATATTGTCTTAGAAAGTCAAATCCCAAACCTTGGATGACATTTGGGTGAAAAGAAGACATTTTGGCTTATATGTCCCAAAGCCTTTGTTAGTTGCATTTAACTATATCCCCTGTTGTCATGGAGATGTAAGCCTTTTACTTTCTAAACAATAAACAGAGAGATTCCTTCCTGTTTGTACAAAGATCAACTGTGATAATGGCAGGAAAAAAAAGGGTTATGTTTGTGTGCATACATTTCTACAACAGCTGTAGGGTTTTTTTTTTTCTTTTACTACTTCTTTTCTTTCATTTTTTAAAATTTTTTGATACCTTTTGGCAATCCTAGCATGGGTCTTTATCCTGTGCACTGAAATCTTGCTTTGAAAATAGGCTTTTGACCTGTTAAAACCAGGCATTGTGTTCAAGCACCTGGCAGTTTAATTTAGTTTAACTTTTTGTTCAGTAACCTGGGGAAGAGAGATGTATTATAGGAATTAAGAGTAGGAATAGGAATGAACATTTCTGGAATGTTAGAGGAAGTAAAAGTTGAAAGCTTGATGAAGAGGAGAGAGGTGGCTTTGATTTTGCCCCAGGAATCAATCGATGCAGAGTTTACACAACTGTAGTTGGAAACCTAAAAACTGCATTACTCTGGATCTTGATTTTTTTAAAAAGTGGTCTATCCTGCTAATAAGGGATATATGATCTGGAGTTCCATGCAGCAGCAGCAGGAAGAAGAGGAGGCATCTCTTTTTCTTTACAGCCAGCCAGTCCAAGCAATTTACTTTGATGTGCATCAAAATGCAAGATTAAAATGTCCATTTCTGGTTTTCTCCCTTTCTTCCTTAGGTGATATTGGGGGTCAGATGGGTCTTTTTATTGGTGCTAGTATCCTCACTATTCTGGAAATATTTGACTATATTTATGAGGTAAGTTGCAGCCCTTTCCTTGAGATAGCGAATAACAGTCCAATGGCCATATATTGTCATGCTGAGAGGATATAGGAACAGATTTCATCCAAGGGCCTACTTTGACCCAATAATATAATAAGCTCAAGAATATACATTTTGAAATCTTGAAGCACAAAATCTAATCATCAGATTTTAAATTTCTTCTACAAGATTTAAAAATACCAAGGTTTAGAATATAAATTTGAGTCCAGAAGGATAGCACAAATCCTGAAGCTATTTCTTTCGACACACACTCTCTGATTAAGGGGAGAGAGGTTGTAGCAGTATGTATTTTAAGTAACATCCCCTCCCCGAGTAGGCCATTAAATACATATTTTATGTTAACATGCGTGTGTATGTTTGTATATGTATGTATGTATGTTTGTGAATATATATTTTTATAACCATTAAGGATATATATATATATATATATATATATATATATATATATATATATATATATATATATATATATGTCTTTGGTTATTTGGGTTTTCTCCCGTGTAAAATTGGAAGTGTCTTGGCGACGTTTCGACGAAGTCCCATTCGTCATCTTCAGACTGGTGTTTTCAGCTTCGTGCTTTGAGGAGCAATATGTGGTCTTAGCTGTTTCTTCCTTTTAACTGCAAGTGGGGTATAAACTGATTGGGTGGGAGCTTGGCTGTGTTCTGATTGGGTGGAGGTGTGTTCTGATTGGTTAGGGGCTTGGCTGTGCTCTGATTGGCTGGGGGGTTGGCTGTGCTCTGATTGGCTGGGGGAGTGTTCTGTTTGGGTGGGGGCTTTGTTGTGCTCAGGTTAGTCTGAGTTGCAGGTGGTTTTAGATGGTGGGCTGCCTTGCTATTTTTTGGCTTCGCGTTCGTGGTCATGCCTCATCTTCAAGGTGGGTGTCAGTTTGCTTCATGTATGGATTGGAGGGGTTTAAAGTGGCTAATGATGCAGCTGTGGTCTGGCTTCTGGTTTGTGGTCGTGTCTCATCATCGGTGTGGCTTTGGGTTTGCTTTTTGCGTGGATGTGTGGTGGTAACATCTTGTGTGGTTTTTGTGAGTGTGGGTGTGGTATCATTTTTTGTGTTAGGGAGTCGTTTGTCAATAAGGGCGGGTTTCCAAATGGCTGGTAGGCGTGAGGTATCATCTCGTTTGTTCATGCTGTGTGGGCGTTTTTCTATCTCGATGGCTTCTCTGATTATTCTGTTATTAAAATGTTCACTTTTGGCAATGGTTCTGGTATTTTTAAAGTCTATTTCATGTCCTGTGGCTTTAAGGACCAGGGAAGATGTTGATTCCTCTTTTTTGACTGAGTTCTTATGTTCTTCAATGCGTGCACTTATTCTTCTGTTGGTTTATGGAGGATCTTGCTGATTCTGTCTGTGGTGCCTTTTATGTATGGGAGGAGGGCTTTGCCGTTTTCTTGTTCTCTGTCTTGGATTTTAGTGGGGGTTTCTTTTTGGATTAGGTTTGTAATCTTATTTCTTTGGAATCCATTGAATGTTAGTACATTGGTGAGAGTGTGTCGTTCAGTTTTTAGGTGTTGTTTGTCAGCTAAGCGTTTTGTCCTGGAGATGAGTGTCTTGGCTACAGAGTTGATCTGTGCTGGGTGGTGGTGTGAGAGAGCGTGCAGATGGCTTTTGTGTGTGTTTTCTTCTGGTAGATGGTGTGTCCTAGGGAGCTATTGGATTTCTTGTAGACTAAGACATCCAGGAAGGGAAGTTGGTTATTAGCTTCTGTTTCCATGGTGAACTGTATTTTGGGATGTAGGTTGTTGAGGTGTGTGAGGAAGTTGTCCAGTTTTTCATTCCCAAGTGGCCAGATTATGAAGGTGTTGTCTACGTATCTGAGCCAGAGTTTGGGTTTGTGATCCGATTTTTCTAGAGCTTGGGTTTCAAAGTGTTCCATGTAGAGGTTTGCAATGACAGGTGAGAGGGGTGATTCCATGGGTGCTCCTTCTGTTTGTTTGTATTTTTGTCTGTTATAGATGAAGTATGTGTTGGATAGGCAGATCTAAGATGTGTTTGGGGGGGTTATATTTGTTTTGGTTAGCTGTCAAGGCTTCTTTGATAGGCACTTGGGTGAAGAGGGATATGACATCGAAGCTCATGAGTAGGTCGCTGGGCTGTAAGTTTTGTTTTTTTATGATCTCTATAAACTGGAATGAGTTTTTTTACATGTGAGGTGATGGATTCTGCATAGGGCTGTAGTTGTTTGGTGAGAAATTTGGCTAGGTTTTGTAGAGGTGAGCCTATGGAGCTGACTATGGGTCTGAGTGGGGTTCCTTCTTTGTGTATCTTGGGGAGACCATAGAGTTTGGGGCATCTGGATGATTTCTCTCTGGGAATGATTCTCTGCTGGATCTCTTCGCTAATGGGGGAGGCTTTTATTTTGGATCTGGTGGTTTTTTCCAGGTAGATGGTGGGATCTGTGTTTAGGGGTTTGTATGTAGAGTCTTGGAGTACGTTGGTTAATTTGGTTTGATAGTCAGATGTGTTCATAACCACCGTGGCTTTGCCCTTGTCTGCTGGTAGAATTATTATGCTGGTGTCTTCTTTCAGGTTACGTAGTGCTGTCTGTTCCTCTTTGGGTAAGAGGGGTTTAAAGTGGCTAATGATGCAGCTGTGGTCTGGCTTCTGGTTTGTGGTCGTGCCTCATCATCAGTGTGGCTTTGGGTTTGCTTTTTGCATGGATATGTGGTGGTGACAACCTGTGTGGTTTTTGTGAATGTGGGTCTGGTGTCATTCTTTGTGTTAGGGAGTCATTTGTCAATAATGGGTACATACATTTCAGTGGCTAATGATGCAGCTGTGGTCTGGCTTCTGGTTTATGGTCGTGCCTTATCATCGGTGTGGCTTTGGGTTTGCTTTTTGCGTGGATGTGTGGTGGTGACATCTTGTGTGGATTTTGTAACTGTGGGTCTGGTGTCATTTTTTGTGTTAGGGAGTCGTTTGTCAATAAGGGCGGGTTTCCAAATGGCTGGTAGGCGGGAGGTATCATCTAGTTTGTTCATGCTGTATGGGCGTTTTTCTATCTTGATGGCTTCTCTGATTATTCTGTTATTAAAATGTTCAGTTTTGGCGATAGTTCTGGTATTTTTATTGCACTTTAAACCCCTCCAATTCATACATGAAGCAAACTGAAACTTCCAATTTTACACGGGCGAAAATCCAAATAACCAAAGACCTACATACAAACACCCACGAAAACCTCAGAAAATACACACACACACACACAGGGCTTTTTTTCTCATAGAACGCCCAGAACAGAGTTCCAGCACCTTTTTTGGATGGAACCTTATAGGGTAGGCAAGGCGGGTTGTATGATGTGTGTGAGTTCTGGCACCTTTTTTTTTAGAATATATATGTATGTATGTATATGTGTATGTATGTGTGTGTGTGTGTGTGTGTGTATTTATATATATATATGTGTGTGTATATATATATATGTATGTGTGTATATATATATATATATATATATGTATGTGTATATATATATATATATATATATATATATATATACACATACATATATATATATATATACACACATACATATAGACCTACATACATACATATATATATATATATATATATATATATATATATATATATATGTATGTATGTAGGTCTTTGGTTGTTCAGGTTTTCTCCCACGTAAAATTGGAAGTGTCTTGGCGACGTTTCGACGAAGTCCCATTCGTCATCTTCAGGCTGGTACTTTCAGCTTCGTGCCTCGAGCAGCAGTGTGTGGTCAGAGCACAGCCAAGCCCCTAACCAATCAGAACACACCTCCACCCAATCAGAACACAGCCAAGCTCCCACCCAATCAGTTCATACCTCCACTGGCAGTTAAAAGGAAGAAACAGCCAAGACCACACACTGCTGCTCGAGGCACGAAGCTGAAAGCACCAGCCTGAAGATGACGAATGGGACTTCGTCGAAACGTCGCCAAGACACTTCCAATAGCATCTTGAGTGCTATTTGATACACCCTGTCGGCCCAAATATGGGAGAAAGAAATCTTTTGCCTTGTATCAGCTCAAACTAGAGCCATCCACAGGCATGTCAGTCACAACTGCGACATCGTATATATTTCTAAAATTTGGATTGCTAGCAAAGAATTAAAGGAGAACTGGAATAGCTATTTCAAACTCTTTAGTTCTCATCAACCAGACATACCTTTTCTGAGATTCGAACCTGCGCTGTCTATCTTGGGGAGACCATAGAGCTTAGGGCATCTGGATGATTTCTCTCTGGGAATGATTCTCTGCTGGATCTCTTCGCTAATGGGGGAGGCTTTTATTTTGGGTCTGGTGGTTTTTTCCAGGTAGGTGGTGGGATCTTCGTTTAGGGGTTTGTATGTAGAGTCTCCCAATTTAATTTTTTAACTCTTTGTCAGAAATATATATATATATATATTGATATATATATATATATATATCCCTAATAACTATAAAAATGTGAATCCCAGGCATATTTGTGTAATGGTATAAAGCCCTTGAACTCTGGGATGAATTTAAAACAATTTATTTATTGTTTATTGTTAAAACAACAAAAACAACTATTTACAAACCTAAAACTCAGCTGTCTTAGCTTTCACTGGTCCACTGTCAGTGTCATCGTCACCGCCTCTTCTACCTAACCGTAGTTGCTCTAATTTTCCCGCATCTCCTCCTCCACCTTCTAGTCCTATCGCTCTCTTTCCTCCCATTGGGAAAGGCAAAGAAAGGAGCAATGGGAAGAAACAGAGCCATAGGACTAGAAGGCAGACAGGCAAGCAGAAAGAGAACAGGAAAAGGTATCAAGGGGCTCTAAGTAGTCTGTGGATTATCCTGCTTTGCAGAGTTGTTATAAGAAAGCATGTGCCTTTATAGGCTGGTAGCTGTTAACATTTGCTCACACTTGCTGATTAAGGGGAGAGGGGTTGAGCATGGATAGAAAGCATTACCACAACCGCTGCCTGTTTTCTAAGCTAACTCTGCTGGTTTTGGGATGCTTTCCCCGCTTCTTCTGGATGCCCACCACTAGCAAGAGCAAATTACATGATTCTCGTATTGGATTTCCCACATCTGAGCTTCCAGGTTGTGCAGAGAGAAAAAGAAAGAGAAAAAAAAACTGTCTCAGAGTTATCACCATTAAGCTTCTGTTGCTGGGCTGAAGATTGGGTCAGGATTTCCTAATCCACATGCAGCACCTTAATGGCAGCAGCACACTGGCTGTCACAAAGGATTCCTTTCTACACGTTTGATCAGTGTAATTTGCTTATTATTGTCCACACTGAATAAAAGCATTTTCTACATGGAGATGCTGGGAATTGAGCCTGGAATCTATTCTATGAAAAGCAGGGATACTTACGTTCAGAAGTAACCCATTTTCAAACCTCACAGTATTATTCTTGTGGAAGAGTTACATTGCTTAGGATCCTGCACAAAAAGTGTGATATAAATCTAACAAAAGAAGAAGGGAATAATAAATAAACCTTGGAAGGAAAAAGTGATTTGGTATCTTGGTTCCCACTTCTATGGCTGGCTCTCTCCAGTGTCTCCTCAAAAAGACACACTTGAGGATTGGGGTAAGATATACCAGTAGCCAAATGTCCTAACCTTACTGTATACAGCCAGCCAAAGGGAAAGTAGAATTTAAGCTAGCCTTTGGGCTGGCATCAATTTTTTCCCTGCAAGCAAAGGCAGAAGAAGCAAAAATGAATAAATACCAGTCCAAAAATTGTCTATTCATTTTCAAGTCTTGTCCCTGGACTGCAGGTAGTTGGATGCTCAAGCATAGCACAGGGTAGGACCTCCCCAGTGCATACAGGTTAGGGCCTATGGTATTAAACAAAGCAGTTTCTGGGAATAGATTAGAAAATCATAGCATGATTCACTTCGTTGAATTTGGCAAGACAATCTGTTTCGCATACAGGTTTGCCCTGCAACATCTGCCTTTCTCTGAGATAATTCAGATGCAGGGCTTTGAAACATGCCTCCCCTCCTCTTTTTTCCTAGTTAGATCAATATAATTGTCTCTGAAAAGTAATCCAAAGCTGAGATAATAATTGTTTGCTGAAAATTGCCCTCATGAGAGTTGCAGTATGGAAAGAAGAATTTTACAATATTAAAATTAAATCTTAGCATTGTTCTTAATTTTTTAAACAAAATGTATTTTTAAGAAAGCAAGAGCAACCTTAGAAGTAGATGAACAGAGCTGAATAAAATTTTAAATTCAAAAAAGAGTACGGGGTCAGACTTCTCATGCAAACAGGCTTAAGAGCCCTGAGTTTACTACATGGATTAAGAATAAATAATTAACCCAGCACAGTGCTATATAAGGAAGAGGACCTCTCTTTCTGCTGCCAGAGAATTGGAATGTATCAGCTTTTTGCTGTAACTGAGAATCTTATCCTTTCTTCTATTTCTTTTAGCTGATCAAAGAGAAATTGTTTGATCTTCTTGGCCCAGAGGAGGAAGAAGGAAGCCATGATGAGAATGTGGTAAGTAGACCCACCTCCCTTCCAGGACTCACAAGAGCAGAAGCCAACATATAGCACATTGGCATATTCCTTGGCAAAGTCTATTTTCAATCTGGCAGGGGAGATGACCTTAATTTCTGCACAGAGTGGCACTGGGCCTCGAGTTTATGCTTTCTGCTTCAGTAATTTACCCTCCAATCTCAGATACAGCAGCTTGTAGTTATCCTTATGCAGAAGGCAAAGTCATTTGCATTTACTCAAAGGGTCCTTTTTTAAATTCACATTGTACAGGTTGATTTCTGGTTTGACAAAAAAGCTCTGAGTGAGCCCTGGAGCAAATGGTCATCTATTAATTAAATAAGGGATGGGCAAAAGTTAGCTCTGGATAGCTTTACTTTTAGATCTCTAGTTGACTTGCATTGGATTGGCAAGGATTCCATTTCTGCCCTACTTAATGCTACTTAAATGAAGAAACCTTCCAAAAGTTGGATTCCTGAGAGCCATTCAATATTATCATTTTGCACCACTTTGTGATTAGTTCTGATCCTGGTTGATTTCATACCATCTTCTATTAGGGCAAGCTAACTCATTTTTTTTCTGATGTTCCATTGATTGGAAATTTTCTTTGAATTATTAAGACTCTTCAAAACCTGTAGAGAATACATTTTCCCACTGGCAGAACTCTTGAGTCACTTTGGGTCTTAGGTTCCCTCCCAGCCAATAGAAGTTCCTGTGCCAGGAGCTTGTTTCTCTCTAGAGGCATTAGTTAAAATTCCCATTCTCCCCCCCCCCCATTTTCAATTGATTGCAAAATTGTAGTCACGGCAACATTTTACTTCCACAGCTCACGGGGAGGTTAAAGGTCACAGAGGAATGGCAGTAAAGCATGTAGAAAGCTTTTGGAAATTTTTAATACTTACTGTTTATTATACATTACAATTTATTTTATTTCTTTTTGCATGGATAATAGCTATACAAGTGTGAGAGGGATTATTGCTCAGTGCATTAGATACCAACAGCATGATATTCTTTGGAGTCTCCCCTTGAAGGGAAAAGGTGAAACCTGATTAGCTCTTGATGTTCCCTATATGTTGCCGGCTTTTGAGGCTGACAAACGTGAACATTCAGACAGTTTTGTGAGGGGATTAGAGGAGGTAGAAACATTAGCAATATGGAAATGCGTGAGGAGTACAGGAACTATTAAAATTAGACTTTTTAAATCAAATCCCTGAACTCCAGTGGCTACTTAATTCCACCTTCGATTCCAAAATGAGACTCTTCTTACTAGCTTCAGTTGACTGATCTCATAATCAACAAAATAAATGCTGCAGATCGGAAGTGTGCCCACATGATTTAAAATGACCACTTTACCTTATTGCTTCAGAAATATTTATTTCAAAATAATTTTATTAGCCTATTAGTTAGAAGTCTGCTTTATTCAAAAGATTTGTCTTTCACTGGGTAGATATTTTATTGTTGGTAGTTTTGCTATTTGTTTAAGTGCATCCTAAAGAAGAAGAGATACATATATCTCTTTGGTAGACTACCAAATCTGGTGTACAAAACTCCAGATAATTATTAGATGTCCAGAAATTTTAACTATTATTGGTTGTCTGGATTTTTACAGCCCAGATGCAATATTCCTGCTCCTTTCCCTCCTCTTCTAACAACCTGATTTGTTATAGGCAGGGCTTTAGCAATCTTACAGTTGTCATCATTGCAAGAAAGAAATTAAGAATACCTTAAAAGGTAAATGTAAAGGTTTCCCCTGCCAGTCGTGTCTGACTCTAAGGGGCGGTGCTCATCTCCGACGATTCACAGCCAAGGAGCCAGCGTTGTCCGAAGACGCTTCTGTGGTCATGTGGCCAGCATGACTATGTGCCGAAGGTACACAGAACACTGTTACTTTCCCACCAAGTGGTACCTATTTATCTACTTGCATTTACAAGCTTTTGAACTGCTAGGTTGGCAGGAGCTGGGGCCAGTAATGGAAGTTCACTCTGCCACACAGTACTTGGTCTCAAACTGCCAATCTTCTGGTCAACAAGCCCAACGTCTTAACCGCTTGGCCACTGTGCCCCTCTAAGCATACCTTATCGGCTACAAAGGGTGATTCTTTTTATTCAACAAAAACAGTGGAATTGGATATTGTAATTTTGTGTATGTCTTATCTGAGAGTAAGTTCTATTGAACTTAACAGAATTCATTTATGAGGAAACAATTGCAACATAATCCAGTCTTTATTTGGGAGTGTTTTTAATTGGGTTTAAGAAGGCATGTGACTTTAGACTTTGAAATACTAAAGAATTTTGCTTTTCAAAATTTTATACTTTCTCCCTCCCCCAGATGAATCCTATTTCAAATTTCAAAGTGTAATTGTTTCCAATATCAAGCTTCATGGATATCTGTCTCCATTTGTGTGTGTGCGTGAGACTGTGTGTGGGTCTACATGCATGTGCATGTGTATAGGTGTATATATACCTAGCCCAAATTAAATTCTTTCACATTCCATTGATTTTAATGAGATAAATTAAAGAAGTGTTGTAATTCCCACACCAATATGAACAAGATTTAAACATTTTAAATGCATGCGTTCATGCATTTTTGCTCAAATGTATGTTGTGTTATTAATAAGCCGTGTCCGTACAAATACAGAATGTGATTCTCTCAGCCATCAAAACCCTTTCTGAATTTTTCCTTGGGGCTTTCAGGATTCACCATTTGAAAATGGTAGGTTGAAACACACTTGTATTTTGAGAACCATCATGTTTAGGCAATTTATTAGGACAACTCAGAAGTTGTAGAATAGTGTATTAGACAGTAAACAAACACTGGCTGGAATATGGGGGGCGGGGAGTAGCTGGTGTTGAAGCCATCAGCTCTGAATTTTATCACAACTTGAGAAAAAATGTGAGAGGAGTAGCTTAATATAAATGAGAAATCAGTTCTATTTATATCCTTTAAATGCCTATCTTTTTGGCCTGTAAAAACCCATATAGTGATTTTAATAATACCTAGCATTTATGCAATGCAGCAAAGCTCCTACAATATTGTATCTCTGAAAGCTATACCAATACTATTATCTTGGACGTAGACAGTTAAAGCCAAAAGAGGAATGGCTGCCTAAACTATTTAGTGAGCTCTTAATTGAGGTAAGATTTGAAGAATGGATTTGTCCACTTATTCTCCCTTGGTCGTCTTCCCTTTTTCTGTTCACAGAGCACGTGTGAGCCCTTGTCAAACCATTCTGATCCCACGAGCCACACTGTGACAGTCCCACTGCAGACAACACTTGGCACGTTGGAAGAAATTGCGTGCTGACAATGCTTCCTCAGCACTATGGATGGCAGAACCTACAAAAGCCAGGGAATCCTACTCAGGCTCACTAACAGGGTGGGGGAACCATTGAGGAATTCGCTATGCATCCAATTGTTCTCTTCCTCTCTTCTTGTCAAAATCAGTGAAAGATTTCATGGACTCAGTTGCATCAGCCTGTCCTACCAGGATGAGTGGATGAGGATGTAGGAAAGGGCAAGGTTTATCTCCACCAGCGGACAACACATCTCAGTTTTTGAACTGGAGAAGTGTGATGACCAAGGAATTATTCTTTCATAGACAGCCTACAAGTTATACAAAAGAAGCCTGCATGCCAGTCCTTTTGATGGCAGTCTCTCTTTTTCCTTACAAGCCATGTCTCCATCCAACAACTACTCCCTTTTTTCTTTTTTCTTTTGCCACAACAAAAGTGGAGGACATGGTACAGACTTCCCTGCTCAAGAGTTTACCATTATTTAACAACATCACTGCTGAATTAAAAACAAGCAATGGTCCATTTCCATTCTTTTTTGTTGTATGCTAAATGTGACAGGGTCTCAAAGTTCTGGTCAAATCTTTGGGTGAGCCAGCTCTTTGATGACCAAGGTGAGCATGCTCAAATAGAATGGTTCACCTTATCTACCATTATAGACCACTTCTTAAATGCAGACACTCACAAATGCACCAGCCCCATTGACACTAGTTAGCCATACAGCTACTGTCTTGTCTAGATTGGTGTGTAATGCAACATGTGTGTGTCCCAGGATTGAGGGAGGTGGGTTCCAGTTACCTTTCTGACTTGCCCTGGTTCCTCATTCTTAACAGCACTATTAAAGATGATCTTGTGGAAGGGGAAAAACTGTCATTTCTGCTTATACCACCTTTGTGGATGTTTTAATACAACTTGGGAACTATCAATATTAAAAAGAGTAAAGAACAAAATATGTCCTTTTAAGCTATTTATAAGCAATGTTTTAGCAATTTTCACAACAATAACTTTGGTATGTTGTATAAGTCATATGACAGACATTGACTGGGCCCAAATCTTTGATTTGCACAATACATGTAAAATAATCACATAAACTAGATTCGTACAACATATTAAGTCACAACCTGGATGGCTACTTTATAGTTCAGGGTATGTGGTGCCCAAACCACACATTTTTATGGACTATATTTTATCATATCTCTACAATATATTGAGATAGATTATGTGTACATTTCTAGATTGAGTAGTTGGTGAGGCTAAATGGAAATGAAATGCAGAAGATTCAAGCAATTATAATTATGGGGGAGTTATTTGCACATTTGTCTTTTGTGTAGAACAGTGGTTCTCAACCTGTGGGTTGGGACCCCATTTGGGGTCGAATGACCATTTCACGGGGGTTGCCAAACAACGCAGTCCGCCATTTTTCCCCCTTTTCCTTAGCTGTGCTACTCCCTTTTATTCTATTGGCTTTTGAAAGCCAATAGAATTGACTCTCTTGAATAGAGTCTAATTCTATTGGCTTTCAAAAGCCAATAGGAATTGTCCAGGCTGTCTCTGCCCTGCTGAGCCTGCCAAAAGTCCCATTCTGCCAACGGTGCTGCACCAACTGAGTAGTCCTCGACTTACGACCGGTTGAGTAGTCCTTGACTTACGACTGGTTGGGGGTCGTGGCATTAAAAAGGTTGAGAACCACTGGTGTAGAAACTGATCTGTTTATCATACGCAGAATGTAGTAAAATAGCACTTACAAACAATAGCACAGGTGACATTGGAAGATAAGTAATAGATCATTCATTTTGTGTTATGAATGACGCTATTAAGTTCTGTAACAGTCATCCTAAAATAAATATTGAGACTCTATGCATATATATCAACCTATGCATATATCAATTGATCAATGAAATATGTAGTATATATATATATAATATAGAAGAAACGAACAGGAGCAGGAAGATCTTAACAGCTGCTCCTTGCAGGATTGGGGAGAGAGAGCTACGGGTGAGACAATGACAGCCATAGGAGAAGATGACAGCCCTACAGGACATTTGAAATGCAGTTTGAGAGATGGCTCCAAAATGAGAGGGGGGGAGAGATAGGGGGCAGAGACAGCTTGATAGCCATCCCCCAGGCGCTCGCATGCGTGCTAGAAAAGTAATGGAGGATCCGGGCATAACCACCGGGTCCACCAACAGGCAGCCGGATGTGAATCAATTTAGCACGTTGCAGATTAATACAACCAAAGGGCCGATTATGCACTCGAGAAGCCGGGCGCAGAGACAGGTAGCTATATAGGCAAGCTTCCTAATCACCTAGCATTCCAACCCTGATAACGTTGGCAGTTGGGCCAATGAAAGCTTGGTAACTCTTTTACTTACAAACTTGTCTGTATTAAACAGGTTTGTTTTATTTTTATCATGGTGTTCGTTTCTTCTATATTTTTTATTGATATGTGTTTTCCCAGGATTCACATTTTTAATGTTAATATATATATATATATATATATATATATATATATATATATATATATATATATATATATATATATAAAGTTGATCAATGAAATATGTAGTATCTTTGCCACTCAGCAGACTGTAAAAGTAAATGCCCTAAACAAGAGTGCAGTTATCATTGTCTGCATCTTCTGCATTTTATTTTCTTTCAACCACCGATTTTCTATTTCCACCGATGCCTTCAGTTAAATATGTGCATATCTGACTCTCACAATATACTGTAGGTATCTAATGAAACTGACTTACTCTGCAAAATCTAATGTCACATTGTTTTAGAATTTTGGTTGCTTTTATGTCCATTTTTTTTTCCTGAGCAGTCCTGCAGCCAGACACAATGAAGTTACTGTTAACTAATCTTTGTGAGGTCCACTACACCCACCCATGTGGTTTTATTATTTTATTTATAAGTTTCAGCAGGTCTACTCTGAATCATCTTTTATATAATACAAAGTTCTATAATGACTGCTCATTGAACATATGATCAGTAGACAGTGTTAACATATACGTTGAGCCTTCCTATACTATAACCCACTTGGAATACAAATTATCTCCAGGGAAGAATAAACCTAGCATGCTTATGATGATCTCACCAAGATAGGTTGCAAAACAACTTCACTAGAAGTGTAGGTGTGGCCACCAGTCAGAGGTGAATTTTATTCCAGTCAGAGGTCTGGAGAAACCTATTAACTATGATATATGCAACTTTATTGCTAGAGTTGTGAACATTTATTTATGGGATGGAGAAGGGACTGGGGAGTAAAAAGAAAGCAGATGCTGAGAAGTGTGACATCATTATGTACTGTAAACACTGAATGACATCCTGGGATCAGGCATCAAGATGAATACAAATAGGTAATGGTGGCATTTGCATAACAATGCATCTTTTTGGTATCATGTTTCCCTGCAAAAGTTGCTGTCTCTGCCTTTAAATGTCCCACAGGAACATCACTTTTAAGTAGAGAAATTACATCATCTCATCTCCAAACTAACAAAATGAAGGCGAGGCATATATCTTGAAACTAGGCAAAGGGGGGGGGGATATAAGACGGAATATATAATTACATGCTTTTAGCTTTATATCTAGAATATTATTCAACTTTTTTGCTGGCAATCAATCTCTAGTTCAAGTCTTTGCCTTAATTCACTCCACAACAAAATAAAATGGTGGGAGTGGCAAGAATGGTCCATTCTAGTGAAAGGGCCTGAGGATACTTTCAGATCATAAAAGGTATCCTAAAGGCCAGAGGCATATGGTGTGGGATAGCAACATCAAGATGCCTCCTTGCTGCCACCTTCCCTCTAGTGTAGTGTTTCTCAACTTTGGCATCTTTAAGACTTCAATTCACAGAATCCCCCAGCTAGCAAATATTGCTCTGATGCTTTGCCCATGACAGTTTCATAAGTGGATCTTACTAGCTAATCAAAGGATAATCTGGTTAGTTTCATAGTATTTATAGACGTTTCCAAGGATTTTCTGTGCAAAAGTAGCCTGGCAGTCCCCTACTCTGTCTATGTCCCTCTCCTCCCTCCCTCCCTCCCTCCCTCCCTCTTTCTCGTTTTCTCTTGGGCATAAGCATTCCAGTCAAATAAATGAAAAACTGAGTAGGATAGGCACTGCTGTGAGATGCCATATCCAAATCCAAGACAATTAGCAGGGGTTTGCTTTCATTCTACCACAGCTCTATCCAATAATAACAACAAAAGCTAAAGTCAGAATTTAGTGCAGCTGTCAGAAGAATTCAGCTAAGTCCATTTATCTTCATTCTCTTTACAGACTGAGCACAGTGGGAAAAAATGGCCACCTCCCTGTGTTGAACCCAGGTAATATATTAATAGATAACTGGGACCAAAATGCTATCTTCTTGTGGCTCAAAAATCAAGAAAGAAAGATAATTTGTTCTATTTCCAAAGAGTTCTCTTCATGGAGTAGATTTAACTCAATTTCAAAAAAGTGGATGTTTATTCAGTGAAGAGGTCAAGTAGGCCTTTAAAAAATGCCAAGGAAAACATTACAAAAGAGGAATTTGCAAAATTGGCAACTATGAATTTGGTCTACAAAACACTCCTGTCCAGCTGCTGATATGCCAATACTTCCTCAATGTAACTTTTAAGAAAGTAATAAGGAAGCAAGGGGAAAAAAACATTTCAACTTCAGATCCCAGATATGTGAAGGATCTGCTGATTATAAATTCCTCAAACTGTAAGAAAAATGAAATCCCATCTCCTAGCCGCTGCTTTGCTTCTACGTTGGACCCTCCTTTGGAGCATATCTAGAAGCAAGCTGAGTGCTCAGTGCTAGGAGGCTGGCATTTCTCTTCTTCTAAAACCAGAAAAACACTTAGGTGTGTGAAAGGGCTTTAAGGATGGATCCCACCCCACTTCATACTTGGAATTCAACAAAACATGATTAAGAAGACTTTCACCTACAAGTCTCAAGGTTCCAGAGTAAAAATGAGGTGTTCTTACCACACCATTTCCATCTCCAAACTAATGAAATTTGTATGTCTATGGAGATTCTCCGTCATCCAGGTCATGGTGGTCTCAAAGATACATTTTCAAAAGGCAACTGGACTATATTTTTTCCTCAAGGAAATTGCCTTTTGAAAACACACCTTTGAGTAAACCTTGTATGGCACTTTCTTGAGGTCATTTGATGAATTCCTATTATCCACATGTTGCCGTGACACTTATTTAAATAAATGATATATTGCTAGATAATAAAGAACCTCTTTGGTCATGGTCTGACTACCTTTCCACAATGAATTAAAAGTTCAGATTTTTATTCCTCTAATTTTATTCACTTCTACAAAGCCCTCATTATATGCTATTATTCTTATGGTGCAAGCAAAGAATGATAGTACTTTGCTGCCCGTTCCAGGAACAGATCATTGTTGGAAAGCCACTCCTTTACTGTAATTAGGCCCTTGTTAGTTCAGGCAATCCAAAATTGCATGCAGGTAGATGAAGTATTAATATGGCAGAAAAGAGTAATAGGGAAAATGATATCTCTCAGCTGTATCTGGCATAGGATGCAGGTGGGCTATTGGAAGAAGGAAGTTGGAGGCAGAGAGCAATTTTTTCTGATTCCATAAATGAAATGGGGAGGTGTAGATAATGTAGTTTGTTGAAATGGACATTTCTTAAATCAATTCAATGGCATAAAGGCCACAAGAGTTGAAAATTCAAGGCTGACTGTTAAAATTTCCTGCATGCTCTTTTTACTGGATTATTTATTTAGACATACATATGCCTAAATATCCATTTTGGGGTGTGGTATAAACATCATTCTGTTGTGGGGTAGGCAGACCTCTCCAAGTCTTTACCAATCTATTGTATTTTTAATTACATATTTATTGCAGGCTAGTT